CACCCCGGTCAAGTTCAATGTGGCGGGGGAAGTGGTGCCAACCAAAGGACCGCACCACATGTTCTACGTGCTCGGAAGCCCCCTTTCTTTCCAGGGGGGAACCCCTATGCTGGTCGCCGAGATGCAGAGCAGGGCGAGGAAAGCCTTTTGGGCCCACCGAGAGGCGTTCACATCGAAGGCCAGCCTGCGTGATAAACTCAAGCTGCACATCATCTTGGTGCGCCAGAGTGCACTTTGGGCTTGCCAGACGTGGCCCTGCCACACGAGCCTACTGCGAGCCGTCAACTCCGTACAAATCGCACAGATGCGTACGATGCTTGGACTTAAGAGACTGCCAACGGAGGAGTGGGCAACTTGGAACAAGCGCAGCCTCAGACGGACGAGGCTGGCCCTCTTTCACAGCGGGGGAGTCCGATGGAGCTCTTTTGTCCTCTCCCAAATTTGGAGGGCTGTCGGACACATTTGCCGGGGGGATGTCATCGGCAACAAGGTCTTCCAATGGCACAGTTTACAATGGTGGAAAGACATGAAGGAGCGGGGGAACGCGGTGCAGCATGCCCAACGCTTCAACGCCTTCATGGACATTGACCGCCAACTCAGTGACACCGCAGGCAGAGACTGGGGGACAAAAGCCCTCAACCGAGAGACGTGGAGCAGCCTCGAAGCAACCTTCATCGACCGCTATGACGTCCCCTGGAGCAGTGGCAAGCAACCCAGTCTTCAGAATCTTGCTCCCAACCCTTCACAACAGAGAGACCAAGCGTACCTACAGACCGTACTACAAGACAGCCCGAGAACACACAAGCGCAGAAGCAAGCCACAGCCAGCAAAGACAAACACAAAACAAAGCAAAACCACAGGACACAAACCCAGTTTTTCCCTCGTGCAAGCATACCGCTACTCCCACCAAGTCCGAAGCTCGAAAGATCCCTAACTCGCGAGTGACCTGTCTACAGCAGAGAGAGCGGGAAGGGGGAACACCATGCTGACTTGAGCTCAGACTGTCCACTCCGTCTACATCGGCTCCACTCACATGC